ATGAATGTCTTTAATCTTTTAATCAATTAAAGCAATTGAAAGATTGGTAGAATAAGAAAAAGAATTGAGAAAGTCACATATTGATAGTTTATGTTAAATAATATACAAAATATTTTTTTCGAAATTTAGTTTAGATATATAAAACAGTATTTTTAACATCAATTAATAATTAACTTTTTAGATAAAGTGGACCTTTTATTTTGTAAGTACCATTTATTTGGAACATAAAAGAAGATAAGATCTGTTTCTTCCGGACATACAGTGATAAGATATCTCTTTAGTATCTACGTCACTGGTAAAGACTGTGAAACATTTGTAATTATGCATTTATTTGACATCATCTCTATGATAAAAATATTATCATTATTATCAAATATTTTTTTCGTTATATACAATAATACATATTTATAGACATACATTTGATTTAGCATCTGAAGTCATTGAAAAATAAAAAAAAAGAAGTCTTTCGAATTTTGTCAGAGGTTTATTTGGAAAGGACTGAAAGTTCGATTGATGGAAGAAAAAAATAGTGAAAACCTCAATCAAAATGAATCGTGTAATGTCGCAAAATATCAGCTTTGATCGACGAGCTTGATCTCTACGGAGGAAAGATCTATGCGAGAAGGAGAAGATCTTCTGGAAGGAGCAAACGTGTGGTGTGCCAACAGTACCGTTGTTTCCAATTATGGGAAACAAATTTGTTGAGCAGCGTAAAATATAATGGACCGGATGTACAATGGTTGCTGGTCCTCCCCCACGTACTTTCCCCCCATTTCTGCACAAGACTTTTGACAGGAGCACGCACAGAGTACATGCGCGTATATTGCTCAACAATAGGTCACTTCACTGCGCGTTGATCTGAGGAAAGAATCGTGAAGGCAGCTCTTACGAGGTCTTGCTTCATCCCTTCTTGCCGTTCGCCTTCTTTTTTCTTTTTTTTTCGTAACTGCGACACAGAATTGCGTCGGATTGCGTATCGTTAAGTTGCTCGAACCTTAATTAGGTTTCGTGATGCTTCGAGATAAATCAATCCAATGTGTCAAGTTTCTCATTGACAGAGTGATTTCATTTTGCACGCAGCACGTAGCGGGATGCGAGAGAGAGAAAGAATTCTTCTCTTGAAGGAGCAATACTAAAATTAACTCGCTTAACTATTTAAGCCTTTGCAAACTTTCTTAATCGTGCTTGATGACACTTCATAGTTCTAGTTTCTAACTTTACGACTACGGAACAAAGTTTAGAGCTGACGAACTGGATAAATTCATCGCTGTTGTTTCTCTCTCTCTCTCTC